TGTGTATAAGAGACAGGCCCTCGCCGTCCCGGGGTAACGGCGGGGAGGGGGCGCGTCCCCGCGGAGCAAACCCACCCACTGATTTCAGTTATTAAAAAAAATATATATAAAAAAAAAGAAATCGGCGCTGACATCGATGCCGGTTTAAAATTAATATTTCACTTGTAGCTAAATACCTTTTAAAATGTATTATTTTTAAGTTCGGGGCATTAAATGCCTCTTCGTTTAAACGTCTCAAGGGAAAAAAAAAAAAAGAGGCGTTGGAGGGAGGAAAAAGTTGGCCCTCTTTTAATACCCTCAGTGAAGTCTTGAAACATGTAAAAAGGACTGTTCCCCCGGAATTTTACCTGTGCCGAAGCCTCCGTCGGATCGGGGCCCTGGAAAAGGCAAATATTTTATCAGCTGCTGTTTGCATCCGTCAAAGTTTGTGGGTAACTTGATAAATGTTAAAGAGGGAAGCTTGAAGTGCTGGTAAGGCCAGACTTGGAGATAACAGCGCGTTCAATAGCTTAATTTCACAATTAGTTTGCTATATTATTGGAAGCAAATCACATTTCACTGTGCCTACACTAACGCTCTATTTTTAGCCATAATGTAGCTAAAAAGGAGGAACCTACTGAGATGTATTATAACACCGAATGGGAACAATTCTGTTCTCTTTCTTTTTTACTCATTTCGTATCATACATCTGGTTTGGAATACAGCTCATTTATTAATTGAGCAAAGCCACCGCCAGCGGGTTGGAGGCTGCAGTTCCAAGGCAGAGGAAAGTTCCCGGCAACTCTGCGAGTAACCCGGCAAATCACAGTCATGCAAAAAGCACCCGAGCACGTTGGCCGGTCTATCGGTAACTGCAGTACCCAACACAACTCCTTTCTGTTAATTTATAGTAGTGGTGGATTTGGCCAATCGGTTTTTTTTTTTTTTTTTTTTTTTTTTTTTTTTTTTTTCAGGGCAAAGGTGTAAATGAACAAAAAGCATCTGAAATGCCTGGAGGTAGCCTCAGTCTTTGTGTTGTACCATTTATTTTATTTTAATTTTTTTTCTTTTTACAAACAAAAAGGAGAGAGAAAATAAAATTGAGAGAATAGATTTATCTTCTGTCTTAATACCAAATGTCTGATCCACCACCCCCCTCGCCCACCCCATTGTGTTACATACAGAGACGGCTGCTGGAAGAATAAAGCACCTTTCCCAGTACATGCAAGATGCTCACAGATTTTCCACAAATTCAGTAGAAACCTCGTTTGTTTTCTGCTTGCGGTTCACAGGAGCACTTAGCTTTTTAGTGGCTGACACTATATCTATTTTCAGCAGCATTTTAACAGCTGTCACTAACAACTACGATCTCATCTTGAACGGGGAAGGGAGATTATCTGTTTTATTTAAAAAAATCAAACTACATAATTGTCAGATTATAAAATGCAATTTGGATCTTTATCTGCGAAGAGAAGAGGCTATCTTTTCTCATTATGCCAATTCCATGGGAAAAACAAAAACAAAAACAAAAACAAACAAAACAAAACAAAACAAAAAAAAACCAACAAAAAACCCCAAAAAAACAAAAAAAAACCAAAACAGGACTTACAGTGAGCTTGATAAAATAACCAATGGGCTTTGCAAGGTTTGGAAATAATGCTACTCGAAGGCATAAAAAAAAATAAATGTATGTAGAGCACATTTCAAATTCCATTAAAAGTGGTCCCGTTACTGCCTTCTGCAGCTGTGTCACGGTGGGAGAAACCGCAAAGAGTCGAGTCGTAGTTTTCCAAGTAGGTCAAGAGGAGCAGCGCAGGCACCTCCAATGAGCAATTCTCTTCCCTCGCATTAGATTTTATAAGAGGTTAACTCATGTCAGATACATGACACTGAAAGCAGCAGACAGACAAGTGTAAGACACTCTGTAGCAGATGTCATCTCTGTTCCTAAAGATAGTGATAAATTCGCTACGGATAAGGCATTTACCAAACAAGATAACGCTGAAACTCGGCAAGTGTCAAATTTTACCTCCTCCCATGCTCAATAAAGCGAGCAAATTGGTATTAGGGGCTGCAGGAGCGGCGATGTAGTGTAAAAGCAGCCTACTGTACTGTCTTACTTAGAGGTCATGTGCCCTATTTTGAGAACTGAACCAAAGCGGATGAAGTTTTGAGTCGGTTCCAACTAAGGCAGCTGGGCATTTCCCACTTCTCTCCAGCTCCAGCCCAGGAAAGCGGGCGATCACATGGTCAGACATATTATTCTTGCACCCGATATTATTCACTGTAAGTTTAACTTTCACGTCACTCGGCTCGTGGGTTTGGTTATCTGAGATTTATAGCTGATCAGGAGGAGTTGGGTTTCGGGAAGACACTGGAAAACCGTTGGGGATGACGGATGAGTGTTTACTTTCCCTGTCCAACAGGTGCGGGTCTTCTGAGAGAGGAGTCTGCAGTCTTCTCCGACTCACCAGTTAATTGTGTTACAGCTAATTTCCTAAGCCATGCTGAAAGTCTTTAGAATTCTTTACAAGCCCCAGGGAAATGTAAGTAAGCATGTTTTCTATATGGTATGCTTCTGCTCTCTGAGATATCAATATTTTATCTAGTTAGCCTGATTCTGAGCAATTTTGTTTTCTAATTATAGATAAATCTTTTAGCTGAGCAACAAAACATGTTCCCTTTTAACCTGGATTCTTTCTCACATCTGTCGGTTTTGGGGTTTTTTTTCTCTTTTTTTTTTTAATGCTCCTTAATGGCCCATGTTATCACAGTGGTTGAACCACATCTAAGTATAGTGCGATTACGTTTCTGATGCACATTGGCATTAGCAAACTGGCTTGTGTAAAGGGCCAAGACGTGCATTTGAAAACACTGATTTCCAATACGTTTAAAATCACAGTTTTTATTGACGACTAGCACCGAGAGTTTCATCAGGTTCAAAATGAAAATGTCTCACAAAGAACTACGTGTTGTGAGCTATAGGTTTCGTTGACAAT